ACCTTGAATACAAAAAATCCAGGCACGAGATCGATGGGGACTTTTCAGTATTGATTTTTAATGGTGCTCCGAACATTTACACCAATTTTTAATTTTATGCGAATTATTGTACCCTTGCATATTCAAATTGACCGGAATTAATGAATGATAAATATTCCCTTCTCAGGAGTCGTTTAAAAAGTCAGCATGAAGTAGAGAAGCAATCAAAAGTAAGTTAGTCTGTTAATGTAGAATATTATCAGTCGGTGATTTAATATGTATAAAGTCTCTTGTTCTGAGCCTTTTTTCCGAATTAGAATGGGGTAGGCTTTAAGTCTACTAGGTGTTTCAAATGCCTGGCCACAGGACACACTCGCATCAGGTGCGATAGCTGTTTTGACTGCGGCGGACTGTGTTTCCGCTGCGGTCGACCGGGGTATAAGGCGGTAGAATGCTCTGCCACCCCTCACTGCCCAGCGTGTGCGGCACCAGATGGGACAGGAAGGCTGCAAACCTCCCCGCAAATGTCAGCAAACAACGGGGGCTAGCCAATCTACCCAGGCTGCCTCCGACGTCATTCGTGCGACTACGACGTATGACGCCTGAATGACGTCGGAGGCAGATTACAAAGATGTTCATATGGCAACCGGGACCGACGCCTTAACGTACTTTCCTAGGCACGGAGGGATCTCAATGTGTTAAGAATGGTTGCCCATCTATAGACTGACCTGGCTGGGATTGCCTACCCTTGAAATGTGTTAATATAATGTATTGTATACATAAATGAAAAGCACTCAGATATTAAAAAATAATAAGTTTATTTTCTAAAAGTTACAATGTCATTTCTTCTTAAAATTAGAGTGAATGAAATAATGGATTCATTGTTCAGTAAAGCCTACAGAGTTTTTACATGTAAAATTGAATACAAATATAAGTACTGATGCCTAAAACTATATGAAACATAATTTGTGATTTACCCATACGTGGCGTATTATATTTTTCTTTATAATTTTGCACGGTCCCTTGAAATGGAATTTATAGGCAAAGTGCCGATAACGAATTTAGGAAAGATAGAAATTTTTAAGATCAAAAGCATTTTTTAAGAACAAAAGCAGCTACGAAGGAAAATTGTTTAGTGTTACAATTTATAAATACATAAGAATGTGAGATCATCAGGAGGGTCAGGGTATATATTTATATTACATATAAAATACTGTTTTTATTTATTGCAACTTGCCTAAAATACCTTCCTCTAATTCGTCGTCAGCTCATGTACTATAATATGTATGATCAAGATTTACAAATATGGGCTAACTATGAATGAATCGGGTATTGCTGGACCTAAAATAAATAACCTTGTAGTGGCAGGTATAATCGTGATTTGTGCTCATTTTACGTCAAACTATTATGAGACGTAACTATTAACCATGATAAGGTTAGAACCCACTGTCAAAATATTCACTTGGAATGAGTAACTACATACATATGGTAATTATTGAAGTAGATTGAAGTACTCCAAATGCTTTTAATTTTTGTGAATGTTTACACTACAGATAAGCATCATAGAATAAAAATTAATCTATTTAAACTACTTAGAAAACGGCGAAGTAACCCTTTGTACAACTTGTGATTTTGTTACCTCACAATTATTTATAATATTACATACAGGGTAGTATTATATTTGAAGCAAGAAATATCACTACCTTCGTCTATTTTTACACTAGTTACTTAAATAACTTATTTAAAATGAAATAAATAAACTAATTAATAAGAAATACAGGTACAAATGAAACGAAATACATCTGCTATAAACTTAATTATTAGAACCGTGGAATTGAAGCTATATACATAGTATTTATCGGTATAATATAAACTATTTTATCATTTACATATAATAAATAGAATCATTTTAACCGTAAATATACAAAGTATGAACACTTATAATAAAACTAATGAAATATAATAAAACTATAAGATGGAAATGTCAATATGGTAATTTTAAACTAAAGTCAGATTTTAAATAACAATTTGGCCTTGGAAACCATCTTGTTAAAGATTTTTTTACGCTACAGAATATTACACTGAGTTACGGTACGTACGATGAGTGCCGTTGACTCGCTATTCGCTATATGGATCATCGTTAAACCGAATTTGGTTTTATTTGCGGAAAGTCTTAATAGTGTTGCAAGCGCCTGACAAAGTACCTGAGTGATGAAAACTGATTCTTTGCTTGTCTAAATGTCTAATGACTGGATGGCAATTATTTAACTGATTAGACTAATAAAGTATTTAAAAAAATTAGTTCTCACAAACATTTTATATTTAACTATTATAATAAAATTTAACTATTATATAATAATAAAATGATTGTGAGTACCTACTGTATACCTTTCATTACATACCTACATAGAACGAATTAAATAAACTGAACATATTAGTTCGTTCGATGTGTCTATGGCGAGATCAATAAAAGGTTTGATGGATAGTTTCGTGAATATTTATTACTGTTACTCATAAAACACGATGCAATTAGTTGGTTCAACTGGGATATACTCCTGCACCGCTGGACTTCATGAAGAAAACGTGAAAACTATGATGTAACATGCAAGTTATGTGTGTTACAAAAACGTGTGATTACACATAATTAACCATTTACTATTTAACATTTTTATATAAAAGTACGTAATGCGCATGTAAATAATGATTACAGAATAATTCGTTATAACACTGCGATCGTTAGCAAGTTACATTACCTAGAGATACTTTTAAGCAATTATTTTTAAGTAAACAAACGATAATCATTGTTATATAACATTTGTATGCATAATGAGTAATGACCCATACTATAGAATAAAAGAAGTGTGAATGTTACGAAAAAGTTGAATATATAGGTGATTGTTATAAAAATAATTAATATATTGAGGGATTGGCCTGACAGATTTTAATAGGTACATCAACGGCTAAATAAACTATGAAAATGATGTAACAATTTTACTGATTAGTGCAATAGCACCTATATGTGTATTAGATTGATATATACTTTATGATTGTGAGATGTATTGGTTTTTGCTCATACGACTATTTTAAATTAAACAGAATGTTTGCGTTTGTCGATAAACAAAAACGATTCAGAGACATTTTGACAAACTTACAGTGATCATGAACAAAAAGGAATATCTTTAATGTAGTCTAGCGAAAACACAATTTTAGTGTCTAAAAACTATGATATTGTGTTGTGTCTAACAACTATAATTTGATAGAAAAAGAGAGTTAACAAGTACAGTTGTTCAAGTAGTCACAAGCGATAGTAATCTATTTAGTGTGTATGTCGTCAATACAAGTAACTGCTCAGGTAGACTTGTTGCACTAGCTCATTAGTGTGTCATATTTTATAGTCTCAGTTATATATAGAGACATCTCTTTAATATTTTAACTTTAATATCGGTTGTCTACTTTAAAAATGATAAGCAAAGATAGTTTAAATAAGTTTGGGTTACTTAAAAAACATAAGTTGATTCCTAGAATATTTGGAAAAAATATTTTCTTAACTCTAATAATTATTAAAAATCTCAACAGAATGCATAACGCATTGTTGAAATAAGTGTAGTAAATTATTTTGCCCTAGTATTAATTGCAAATATTTGAAGAAGAATTTAAACTAGACTCATTAAATAGTTAAAACGAATAAACTAACGTGGTATCTATTAGTAAACCTAAGTATCAGGAAGAGTAAGAAGGAGGACAAGGAATGGTAACTTCAATTGAATAATTGACTATTCTAGCAATATTTCTTTTTCTTACACTATCTGCAACTTTATATACATTATAGTTAAATAAAAATAAATTATCTACATAAATTAAAACTACTTGAAATGATGTTAAGCAGAGTGACTTCATACAACTTCGCGTCTCTTAAACGCTTTGCCACTAGCTTGACATATAGATTCTATACAAACTTAATAGTGCCAAATTAGCCACTACTACGAAAATTGGCGATGTTTACAGTTCACTAATGTATTATGTTTGTTTGCAACTTCTTACCAACAGATTATTGCATTAAAACTAGTATTAATCTCAGTTAGAACTGAATTAAATTCATGACTTTAATAATGACGTAGTTATGCATTTGTTTATCTCATAAAATAGGTTATACACAGGTTATACACAGGTATCTTAAAATGCGCTTTCATAACCCTTTGTAAGAGAGCTCAGGCTGTTGCGTGACAGCTAGTTCCAGTTGCAGGTATGTGATCCTGATCTATTAAAGCTATTACTAACACTCCATCCTCATAAGCAATATTCTATTCGTTCCATACTTCTATCCTACCTACAGTTTTTCCCACCTAATAGTCCTCTGTCTAATATGTATGTTTACTTTCCATCACAATTGAATTCGGAGGTACTTATATCAGTAGTCGTAGACAACGCATGTCACAACTGCAGGGCAGGGTGAAAAAATAATCTAAGAGAATTAAAAGGCGTGTTTTTTAACTAGCCCAGGTCAAAGGTTTAGCAAAGTGAAAGGATGACGAGTTTTGCGCAGGAAATTTGCGTTGCGGGAAGACTTTCAGCAGGCAACTTTTTTGATTTGAAAAGATCTGGACATCTTGCTTTAAGGCTTCTGTTCTTTTGGTAAAAAATGGGTTTTAAACGTCAAAAGCATAGGTCAATTGAATTTTTCTACTATGGTAACGCACTAAAGTTTTGGCATAAGTGACTTAGCACCTACTACTCACTACGAATGCACAACAGTAATAAATGAACATATCAGGCAAACGTGCTGCACTACTAGTTGTAAGAAGTCACACGACTCATGTCAACGTACGTACTATAGAATGCTGAGGCAGAAGTAGAAAACATTAAGATGGTTTACACTCCTATGATATGTACTTATTCCCACATTACATGCAGACGTCTACTTATAAATAAAGTTAAATTCGAAAATCTCACTATTCCCTCCAAGTCCGATAGGTACAAAGTTATACAAATTGGTAACGTTTTATACACTTTTTGATGAGTTGCTAGTGCCCTCTGTCGTCTGTAATTGTAAACGTGTCTTGCCGCGTAGAACTATCGATCGTTTGCCTGTAAACAAAGTACCATATTAGTTTCTAAGAGTTAGTAGATGGCGCTAAAAGGTTCTTAACTTATTTGTAAAAAAAATACTGAACTCTTTCCTATTCAATTGTAAAAAATATTTTATATACTTAAAAAGTTTTCAAAACAAGTTTGTCTTAACAAATATTAGCGCATATGAATTTAGTGCTCCTGCCAACAGTTTTACATTTGTTCATGATTCATTTGATACAGAAAGCACTGGAAAATTTATACTAACGTTACGTATATACGAAAGTAACTGTGTCTATCTGTATTTGTGTCATATTATTTTAACGGTAGTAAGCCGCTTAATTCAATTTTTATGGGTTTTGGTTTATACCTTTGTATTTGCTTCGTGGTCTATAACGATTCGTCTGTGTGGTGACGGATTAAGAATACAGAGTGTCACCATCCCTATTCATCCCGTGGGTGTCGTAAGAGCCGACTAAAGAAGAAAGGGAGAAGCTTATGTCCAGCAATGGACTATTTAAGGCTGATGATGATGATACCAATTTCTCTATAGAAAAACAAGGTCTCGGAAAAGTCAAATAATATTATGAAAAAAAATACTGCGCCTGAAGGGAAAGTAGAGGCAACTTTTTGAAATTATCACATAATAATATTGGCTAGTGTGTTCGTTTCTTTAAATTATTCTTTAAAAGTGTATTAGAGTCATGAATACAATAACAGCTTAAAAACACATGTGCATTCATCGCTTTTCTTGTGGCTGGTTCTTTTAAGTTAGAAAATTGTGTTAGAATTTTTATGTTAGTTAATAATGATGTAAGTTTTGCATACCTAGTAGATATTAATTTTGTTTGCTACTAGTCTAAGTTTAGTTGTCCAGATTAGATACTTCTATTAACATGTCAATGCAGCTGGTAAGTTTTATATCTGCCCATATTTGGACCGATGACTCGTGTTGGCTGTTTTGATTTTTGATCGAATGATCAGTACCCTTAGTAAGAGTTCACAGCGCCTCTGCCCAAAACAAATACTTAAAATATCACCACTCTTGCTTTTAGGTTGCAACACTTTGTCATAAAACTGTGAAGTTATAAAATTGACCGAGGTCTACAAATGTTTATATAAATAACCGCAAGGATCTTACTGGTGTGTAATGTCGTTTGCGGAAACTTCAAACAAACCGCAAGGGAACATAGATTATTCATACCTTGACACAGATATATTCCCAGCAAAGTTATATCCAGTATAATGACCATTGGCAACCTCAGAGAACTTGAACACTTAAAGTTATTGCGGGAAAAAGTACAGCTTACTTTTATTATACTTTAAAAAACACGTCCTTATCAGTGATTGAGGAAGGTTTTCATTTCGAAGATTGGGTTGGCTGATTTGTTTCTGAAGTATCGTAAAATTTAATGTTTCTTTGACTAAGAATTTAAAGTTATGTATTTTCACTGTAAATGTAAATTTGAAGTATTACTTATATCCCTGACTCTGACACTCTGCTAGTATTCGTATGTATCAATTTTCTGAAACTTGATAAATACAATTTGTGTAAACTATATTGTTATAAAATATGTTAACATGCATTTTGTGTGCATGGTATTAATGCTCTGGTTGTTTTATGTTACATTCAAGGTATGAGAATTCTGAAGTAAAATTCTTGATCATCGAATTTTTAACGAATGTAGGTTAAGAGATATTAAATTAATTGGAATACAATTAAAAACGTGTAAGTATAATATTTTAATCGTGTAAATAGACCTCAATTATTTATATGAAAATGTTTTATTTGATATTAGTTTTAATTTAAAAAAAAAATTTATTCTTTGATCAGCTATAAATCCCTACTTATCAAACATATTGAATGATAGAAAGTATTTAAGTGTATTTATACCCAAATACGTTTTAAACTTTAGTTTAACCATTTGTATACTATGAACGATTTTACAGTTCTTTAGGTACCTATATGATTTGAGAGTAAGTCGTTTCGGTAAATTGTAATACATTGGCAACTGTAATAATGTAACATTGTAGCATAAATAACAGTTCCATGTATCAATATTGCAGTTTTTGCTACAAATCAAAGTCAACTAGTATTTATTTTACGGCTACAGTAATATAAATAAATTAGTTGCAATTGGTTTCAGGAATGCTTATGTTCATGTGAGTTACATAGTCATATTTACATGTAATTGAATTATGGTCCGTTTGAGAGCCAGGCTTTGGCACAAATGTGAGTTATACCACGAACTCACAGATAACCTCTGTTAAGCGATTCTTCCGTTGCATTTCACCAAATCGGTGACTCGAAGGGCACTTGCGACTCTGAAGTTGTGTTCGTGGTCCATGGGTAGTCCATCAGGTGAACCGTCTACTCGTTTGCAACCCCTAATACTATAAATAAGTCATCAAGCGTTACATGTTTTTTTTTAACTTTAATAAATATAGCACTACGCTGGGCGTTGCCACTCTGTTCTTATTAAATGTTCAATAAATCAATCTAAATCTTCACGCCGGTATTCCGTCCAGTATGTTCAATTGGTAGAACAGACAGTTGGACGAAAGATATGTTTTTATCCAAGTTGTAGTAAAACTAAATTGAAATACCATTTGAGGTGATATAGACATGTTTCATTTTTCTAATTTTTCCAAACTGCACAAAAATATTTTATCAGGACTAATCCACCTATTAAAATAAAATCCTTGGGTGTTTCGGTCAGCAGGACGAAAAGAACAATGCGAAACAGATGCGAGCGGACCGAAACGCCCCAACACCCCTACTACTTGTTAGTTTATTTAATCGTCTATTTACGTTGGAATTTTATTATTGTTATTATATTATATGGTATGTACGTACTTTCTATTTTTAGTCACTTGTGATTCTTGCGGCTTTGCAGTTTCTGGTAGGATGAGCACAATAGCGCCACCGAGGACCGCCAACCCTGCTAGCATCATCATGGGCACGTGTTGGTTGAAAATCGCCTGAAATTTTGTTTTATCGGTTAATGTCGCGTATCTACGTATCTACGCCTCTATATTTTTGCCTACAAATAGTAATAGCAGCCTTAATCAGCTGTAAATTAAAACGGAAATTCCTCATGATATTATTATATTTTTCATGGTGTAATTGCATGTATATATATTAAAAAAGAAAAGATGGACTGCGTGAAAGAGGATATAGCTGGAAATATAGTAAGCAGTGAGCAGTGATAGAGGAGAATGTAAGAAGAAAACCAAGAAGAGACGAAGAAAAAGGGTAAAAAGAAGTAGATCATGATGAGGTATGCATATTAAAGAAGGTTTATGATGTAGATGAATTTGATGACTACTTTAATGAAGACATATAACTCTATAAAAAATTACTCTTGTGGAGTTAATTAGTGACCACGATCCGTGCTATTCGATCAATACGTCATGTAACTATTTACACGACGTATTGATAGAATGGCACGGATTCTATAATATAATACCTATTCTATAATAGGTATTACAGCGTGTAATAATTATCACGATTAAGTTCCGATTTACACAATCTACTAAAATCGCAAAATTTTAAAAACAGTGTTTTAACAGATAGTTCTACTTACCAGTTTCCATAAATATGGTATAATCGCAAGAGCGAGACCTGAAGCCAACTGACTCGCTCCAACGCCTAGGTTTCTCACGACCGTAGGATATAATTCTACAGTGAATATTGGTAACATCATGTTAGTAGAACCAATCGCGAACTTCCCTAACATAAGGCAAGCGATCATGATCCATTCTTCATCAAATACCATCGACAATAATTCACTGGCAACACATGCCAATCCGCACATTGACATACTGATAAATATGGGAATTCGCCTTCCTGCTTTCAAGAGTATTGGGATACTAATAGCAATAGCTGGTAATTCAACTGATGCTAAAATTATAGAAGTGACATGTAAGTTGCCCAAACCAAAGTTGCCAATGTTCAACAACAATCCATAATACGCAATAGTCATTGAAAACCACGTGATGAATAAGCATATTGTTCTCTTTCTTAGAGCTCCTTGGAAAATCATTTTAACACTAGGTCCTTCCTCCTGACTGTCTGTTTTACATAACATTAGAAGCTTATCTATGTCTGCTGGTATTTCCTGTTTATTAAATTTGGCAGCCTTTTCTAATATAATCTTTGCTTCTTGGGTTTTTCCCATGCTCATTAGCCACCTTGGTGATTCTGGCAAAACAAACCTGCAAGAAAAATACACTGTAGTAATTTGTACTAATAATGTAATAGTACAAGTTTAATAACAACTCTACGACAAACTATTTCATGAGACAGATTAAATATAACGACTTCTTATGGGAGAACTTTACTTCTACTCGTATCTCCGTGAGTAAGTGTGCGAATTGCATAAATTGTGGTGTTAAATATTTGTTAATAAATAGTTCACATTTTTAAAGTATGATTAATATATTGTCGAGTACATTCTAAATTAATTTATCTATGTATCTGTATAAAATATAGGATCATGATCCGTAAATAAATATATCGAGAGCCATCATGATCATGAAACTACTGTCAGATTCGTCATTATTAATGATTATTGTCTCGATTTGATGATCACACTTATGTACACATTACATTCTTCAGTTGATTTACTAAAACCCAACCAATATCTGAAAAAAAGTCCCTTGATTGTTGTTTTTTCATCTATAGTTAAGAGTTGATGTGTATGATGTATGTATCATGTAACACCAATCTATATTGGTGTTGAAAAAACATTTTATCATATTCATTCTGAGATGACGTAAGTAATTTCAGAGTATTTATATTTTACCTTCAGGTATATAGAAGATAAAAAAAAAACGATATTTACCATAACATCAGGAGCGCACATCCAGGTACAGATAGACTAAGCTGCAAGTCACGCCAGTTGGGCATAAGGAGCGACAGTAAAGACACCACGATGTACGCTAAGGGTAACCAAAAGAAGTTACACACTCCGGCAATTGTCACCCATTTTCCTCCGACCAGTTCTACAGATAATACGAATGCTGCATATACCACCGACACAGAGACAAAGCCCATAACCAGTCGCACTAATAGATACTGAATGAACGATCGAACCAAAAGAGACAGGATGGCCAGTGAACTTTGTGCAATCATCATGCTCATCAATACCTTCTTGCGGCCAAACCTGCAATGAGATAAATAATCATTGAAAATTGTATATCTCTTTTAATTTTTTAGGTTAACTATTTTCTTAATTATAGGCTGTGATTACGAGGGTTCATATGTACAGGTGACTGATTTACAATCCGACGAACTCAGTAGGGAACCCTTAGACATATAGAATTTTGTAGAATGGCAATAATTTGTCTTTGACTTGATTGTCAAAGTTACTAGAAAGAGGTTTGAAATATAAAATATTGTGCAAATTAATTTCGTATGTCGAAGTAAGCGACAATAACGTAATAAACACACGTAAGTGGTAATAAACACAGTTCTTAAACCTAATATTACACCAGTTTTCATCATGCTGTATTTCTTAATACTATTGGGCCTGTACACAAGACCAAAACTTGTGTGCCTGACATCAGTGGAATCATTTGTGTTTTAACATCTCATTCTCCTCTCCTGAGAAGAGTTCTGCAGCTGGAGTACAAGGCATTAGTCTGGGTTCTGAGGTCATCGCCCTTTCAATGATGTGATGAAGTACTACTATGATTGTTAAGAACAATCAGTAGATATGGATTGTTGAACAAAATAATCGTAACTCACTTGTCTGATATCCACCCCCCTACAACTCCACCAGCACCAACTCCTATCAAGAACATGGAATCGGTCAAACTTGTGAGGTACTCTCTATCACAAACTAAGTTCCATTCCGAAATTATGGTGTATCCAACTTCAGACATATCGTATTCCCATTCTGTACATTTTTGGAAGGCGTCAATGATAGTTGAAGTCCCATTCAATATAATGTCTGCTGTGATGTTATCGGGTAGCTGGCGGACAGTACAAGCATCGGACGGTTGACTGTATTTAATCCACACATCTACTGGCAAACTTGATAAATTTTCCGGCCTCTTACACCAAAATTTTTTAACTGCTGCCTGCAATAACAGAATAATATAATTTTGAATGTATAAATTTAATTTTTAATCTGTAGATTAAAGTACTTTAAAAATGATAAGAAATTTAATGTACAACTAATATCAAAACTCAAATATCACATTATTTCTATGAAACATTTAACATCATTTCTTCTAAAAAAAAGAAACAACACTTTTCTAATTTGTAGTATTTTTTACCATCTTGTTATAATCGAACTAAGTTATTAAACTATTTGTATCTAATTTTGAGTCGAGCAAAGATAGTAAAATGTTAAATCGGCTTAATACCTATGATCTACGATTGCCACTTGAGATTTTGAGATCAATTTTTATTTACTATGAAATAGACTAACTACTAACACCCGCACTAAGAACATATCCTGTGTGGCGGGGGACTTTACAAATATACATGTAACGGACACAAAGGACACCCAGACTCAGAACAAGAAATTGTAAATCTCACAAAGTATTTTTCCATTCCTTAAACCACTACGCCATTTCATCTGTGCAATATGTACTTACATTTATTATACTTACGTTTCAATCGCCCTCTGTACACACGTGTTATCTCAATTCGATCAAATAAATACCTTTTCAAATAAATATGTGAATAACACACAAAAAGCCCTTGACAACAACAACAAAACACAAAAAAACTTTGAAAAAACTACTAATGTGGTTTAATTTCGCCTATAATATCAGCAGTTAACGTTTTAAGATGCAATATGCATCTTCGTTTGGTGAAAGGGAGACCACCATAACCTTCCTTCTGGAGCAGTCGGGTAAAAATGAATGTATCCATAGTTTTGTAAGCATTACATTTTAAGTATTGCCCAGCTCATTTGTAAGTGATCACTTTAAGTAATGTAGCTCATTTTGTAAGTGATTACTTTAAGTATTGCAGCTCATTTTCTCCTCATGGTAATGATGATAATAATTTAAAGAAATAAATGATATTATAATAACTTCTAACAACTTAGTAATGATATAATTCAATATCTGCATACAATTAGTGTAATTTTTTTAATAGTAACCGTATTTAGTATGCCACACAATTAACTTTCTCGATTAAGATGTTTATTGGATGAGTCTACTTAAAATCTTCCTAAACAGTTTTTGAGGGTTCCTTACCTTACAAGAAAAAAAACGGGACCCTTTTAGAATCACTTCGTTGGCCGTCTGTCTGTCTGTCAAGACCCCTTTAAGTTAACCAAGTTGAAATTAAAACCTTATACTTAGTAAGTATTTTTAGCGTATATTTTGGTGAGGAAATACTTTTTACGAAATTTTACATCTAGAAAAAATCATTTGGAACACTGCCTTTAAAATATGTTATAATCTCATATAAAAAATGATAAAGATTTCAATTAAAAACACTGTGAACATAGTTACTCTAACTTCTGTTATAGTCAATATCTTACTTTTTCCACATAAATTTTGCAAAATTGCAGTTCATAACAGTTAAAAAAGAGTGAACAGGAGTTTTTATTGCCATTAATAAGTAGGCTCTACCAATTGCGTTACGAATCTGACACTAAATACATATATAATGTAATATTAAATTGCGGCATCCTATGTTAAGTCATATTTAATAAAATTAAAGGAAATCCATTAAATTTGTCAAGTAAAAAAAATTTTGCAACAAAAATACATAAAAATGTGATGGTATTTAAAACTTACTGTAAACGTAGGCAGGTATATATGAAAGGTGCAAGGCAACGAGAATAGAGATAGTAGGAAGGTCATCAGCAATTGCCAACGTCCATAGTTGCCAATAACGGTAGTCACCACATCTGGCTCCTCGGTCTCTGACGGTGTTACCGCCTGACTCTTATCTTTGACTCCTTGGCTTGGGATAACTGGAAAGAATGATACATAAGCAGTTTAGAAATGACAACCTTAAATTGTTTGCATACCATATAAAGTGCGTTACTGAATATCTGTTGATTACAATGATAAAATCGAGATAATAATGGTAATATTTTCGGACATTTGATAAGTAGGGCTTGTCATATAAAATCTAGAGTGACTGTTAGAATACTAATATACTTTTTTTTGTAAATATATACATATTATACATAGAAAACACCCAAGCTCCAAAACAAATATTTACTGATCATACAAACATTTGGTCCGACCCGGGAATCGAACCCGAGACCTCAGCCCGCAGTCGCATACGCTACCATTGCACCACTGAGATGTTATCACGGATTTACAGAAATTAGAAAAAAATCCACAGCTTGCACTCAAACTGTGGTTTTTTTTCTAATTTCTATATAATATATAATAATTTCTATATTAACCTATAAATCTAAAACTATAAATGTATGTACGCGCATAACTTCAAACGACTGCATCAAATTGGATAATTATTATTTTTTGTGTTCGTTATTGCCAGGACAATCTTTTTAGGAAAGAAAATTTTGAATCATAATTTAATCTCATAATATGGAAAGTAAGTGAGTGAATGAGACAGATGACTGTGAGAGATTTATATTAACATTATAAAGAGGTAAAGTTTGTGAGTTTGTCGAAATGAAAAATTATTTAAGTGTTGGATCCTTTTTATCGGGGAAGAATATAGGCTTTATAACATCATGCTACGAGCCGAGTATAATAAAAATTTACACTAAAAATATTTAAATTACTTTATTGCGAAAATGGGTAGGTACAATGATTATTGTGATATAGTAATGTAGGATGGCTTCTCCATTATTGGCCTCTCGGCTGCATGCCGTACTTAACATTTTTTAATTACATGCTTTAGGAATCTAATCACAACATAGTTCATATTCAGAGATTCAAGAATGTCAATATATCATGTATTTATAACTAGTTCTATTTCAGTGCAGTTACCCCAGAATATGATGATGTGTATACTATATATATGTATGTATTCGGTACAATGGATGACAATTTTCACATTGTTAACTAAAACTTGGGTTGAGTACTGCACTCCTAGATAGATAGGCTACTGAACTGAAAGAGTTGTTGGTATGTCGCCGGACCCCTGTTGGTATGTCGTTTGATTTTATTAGTGCGTGAGACATGCATATGTGTGTGTGTGTATGTGTGTTCTCCTTTATGTTTTCATTCGTCGTTTAAAATGTTTTCATTATTTTTCTATATTCATCATCATCATCAACAATCTTTAATAATCCACTGCTGGACATAGGCCTCTCCTTAGAAAGGTGGTTTTGGACTACTATTAGACGCTGGCCAGAAAAGTTGGTATAGGGTTTGTGTCAAGTTTTCCTTCTCTTCCTTCCCTCTCCTTTCCTGCTGTTGTTCTGCTTACTTTGCTTTCTCAGTCGGCTCTTACGACACTCACGGAATAGAGGTGGTGAAACTCCGTATTCCTCATCCGTGGACCCACAATATTTTTCTACTTATATTCAAATAAACTATTTTTGATATAGATTAAAGATTTTTTTAATTCTTAAAAAGAATCTTTTTGTTTTTTTTTTGTTAGGTTATCATTTTATCTATTTCTTTACGAATTTCCAATACTCAAAACTCTACGATTTCATGGGTTTTGTATTAAGAATATGTTATTTTTAAAAGGGTTGACTTTTTTTTTGGTATAGGACGCAAACGAGCAGACGGTTCACCTGATGGAAAGCGACTACCGCTGTCCATGAACGCTAAATAATATGACAAATAAAAAAAAGGAATCGAATAACACTTAGTTAGCTTGTTCGTCGGATCAAAATACAAACTAGGTAAATTCCCAAATTCTTTTAATTATGTTTATTTGGATCATTGCAGACTACACTAATAATTAAAATCGAAACCCGAAAAAATAGATCTTTAAAAACTTAACGATAAAAATAATATAGCAAGAGGCGGGAGAGTCATGGGCCGCACATGGGCCGGCTCGACCGGAGTGATACCACGGCCTCACAGAAAGCTGGTGTTTAGCAATGCTTTCGTCACTTTTCACTAAAAGAGCGAGGTTACCGAAGGCCAAAGCCCCTCCTCCCCCTGACTTTAGGGGTTCTTACTCCACTTACCAAAGGGCTGCAACGCACTTGTAACTATTGAGTTGCATATTTCCTTGGCAGTAGTTACTTACCATCACGTGACCCGTCTGCTCGTGTGCCCTCATTATACCATAAAAAAGGTGAGATTTGATACTGAACCCGGAGAACTCGGTTGTGTGATAGAAATTGCGGGAAGCTTTGTTGTTAAAATTGAAAATTGTAAACAAATGTACATTTTCATTAAAAATTAGCGATTTAAATTTTAAAACTCCTACTGAGTTTGGTGTCGGTTATTGCCATACATCATTTCAGTTGGTGTACGTTTTCATATAGGATGCTATTAGAAGTTTTGGTCCTGAGCATTCATGATAGCTGCTTAGGTGTTGGCCTCACTAGGGGTAAGTGTAGGTGAAGTACTTAATAAACTCTTTAATATTATAAATTTATAAATCTACAGAATTTCTAAACTATACAATTATCCTTTAAACTTGGATTAAGGTTTAAAAGTAACATTTTACTATTTTGTATTGCATTTTGCGAGTTTGGGTATAAACATTTGAAAGACCTTACGATAGAAATATTACGCAGTGTAGCAGTGTAGTTACAAGAAATATGTGTTAAGCCCTATCAAGCAACAAACCTAGTTTACTTATAACTGAGGCACTACGATATTAACAATTTTATACTATAATATTGGGTAAGTTTTGAGAAAAGTGTTGCTAGAAAAAAATACTTCGTGCAAGATTTGCGAGTGGATTAAAATATAAAGTTTGGAAGTTGACTCCAAACCTCCGATTTCCGCTACAATCGGCACGCTTTGAATCGAATCGGCAATATGATATACTTCAAATTTTGATTTGAATGTATATTAAGTTACGTGAAGCAATGATTATCAATTAAAAAAAAGATTTTATTTGCGAAGGTGACCTCTTAGTAGTGAGCAATCCAATAAGTAATAGATAGTGCCGTGTATTTGTTCATGTGTTTAGTTGTTCATATCTACATAGCTAGAAATAATCATACAAGTAAATTATAAATAATGAAACAAGTTTTAATCGCATCTCTGATTGTTTCTCTCATTTACCTTTGATTGACCACATTATGGTGTTACTAGGAAAAATCCTGTTAGTCGAGGACTATTAATACCAGTAGTTGTGATTTGAAAAAGAAAGTTGTAGTAAATGTTAATTATTGCATGACGAGAGGCCGATAATGGAGAAGCTATGCTACATTATTATATCATAATAATCATTTTACCTGCCTATTTTCGCAATAAAGTAATTTGAATTTAGTTATATCAGTTTTGAAGCCCCGCAATACGAGTTATACTCACGTGTTCTATTTGAGATGTTGGTTAATCAGTGTGCCAACAACGATCTTTCAGGTTTAGTATTTTGTACGAAGTAAGATAAGTGTAATATGAATGAGAATATCACCTTTATTCAAAAACAGGGTATCAAAAATCGATACTGATATCTATGAAGATATATGTATGATCACCGCAAGCGTATAGACCTGTCATTAAGGCGTGTCACCTTAAGTATTAAATACTGTTACTTGAAACGTGTCCTTTGGAACATATACTTAATATGACGATAGAATCCCGATACTGTAATATTAACAAGGATATTAAGAAACATGTCTAGATTAAATAACACACTCAAGCAAATTTTTGTAGTTGTATATTTCCATTTAGAGAAACTATACAACTTCCGACGAGTCAAGGCTCGGTTTAGTAATCGTGGGTACGAGTAATGTGAGGTGGCGTTACGAACGAGATCATTAACATTCATATTGTAAATTTGTTTATGCACATATCAATATATTTACCTTTTGCTAGAACATATCAAAATAAATTTAAAAATACGTATTTTTAAGTAGCTTTTGTTTAAAAAGTTACTTAAAATTACTCATCACGCATTTACATTAGCGGAAGTTATATAACGCGATGGGCTATACCGCGGCTAGAGCATTAGAGAGAGGCACAAATTTTTTGTTTCAATGAATTTGCTGTATCTGGATTTGACCGTGAAACCAATCTAGACCACAGCATAGTTCCATATTTAGACGCATTTGTTGCAACTTAAAGTCAATGTCAACGGCGGCATTTAGGAAAAAATACTTTTGGTGACAAGTTTTTAAAAGAAAGAAACGTCTTAAATTTCTAGAAGTTTAGTTAGTTTAGTTTTTAGAACTAGTCATAAATCATTTTAGTGTAAAATTATTTCTGTCGTATATTTCTGCGAATTTACGTTTTATCATTTAACTAAAACAAAAATAGACATAGCAAGTTACCTAAGACTACATTTTTAAAATCATTAATAAAACCCAATTAATTAATTCAAGTGGGACAATGACAAGAAGCGTGTAGTGGTATAGCAAACCACGTGTTCCTTGTTCGCTAGTCCCAAGCATTTTGCGCGCGCTCTACAATTATTAGCGAATAACATGTGCGCTTCGCGCTGACGCCTTGACAATGATCTTCACATGATTGCAACTGTAACGAATGCCCTACGGCAAATACAGTGATATATTGCAGTTTGTATGTTGTTTTACATCTTCATTCGAATCGTCCTCACTTTAAAGAAATGTTTATTGAATTTATATGCCCAGATTGACATTATTTTAATTTTATTTTATTTTTACACAAATAACAATTAATTGTACAGTGACGGACTTAATGCCACAGGCATTTTCTCCTAGTCTATCTTTGGGTAGTAAGGGCAAGGTCTGAGTAGGTGCAGTGTAGTTTTTTTGTGTAAAGAGATGATAATAATAAAGGATATGGACAGAAACAGTGTGACAGATATACATACATACATACTGAGATAGACATATATATATATATATAATACAATAAAAAAACTTTAGGGATGTAATGAATTCCTAAAGTTTTATAAAATATGTTTTCATAGTTATAAGAGTAGTTAAAGTTTTATATAATAAATACAGTATGAAAAATGATTATTTATTATTAGGCCAAATCTCTTCAGGATCCTTAGGAGGTTTAAAATAAAAAAAATATACGTGAAGGTATATAGGTTAAATGCTGAATTCACGCAGAGTATTTGCTATTTAATAATATTATTTAACAGCCAGATAGTTTGTATGGTCTTAGTTATTATTAATATCACCAATTCAGCTCAGCAGTATGGTGAGGTTAGCAAGAATACTAGTAGCTACATGTAGTAGATTTATAATATGTAGATAAATTTATTATGAGGTCCCCCTAAGGAATTTTTGACTATCTATTGCTATTTGTGTAATATTTATACACAACGGCTGGATTGTATAGAAATATGAATATTACCTAAAATACAAGATACTTCACACCGCTTGCGGTTCACAGTGAAGTTCAAGGCTTATTTCTAAGGTTAACACTCTAGAGCTAAAATGATACACCGGTTTCAGTCTTAAGTGAACGTAACGTAAAATTACGCGCGTAGTTTTACTAACTATAAAGGTGTCATCCGTTTGGACATTATTCTTCATCTTGTAGACAGCGAGTTGCATTCGGGGCCAAGGCCAGAGGGCATATCGATTACGTAGAGAGCGATTTGCACAGCTGATTTAGTGTAAAGATCAAATTAATTGTTTTTCATGCAATAGTTACATTAAATATATAGTTATTGCATAAAATGACGTTGGTAATTGATGTGTAACATGTTTTCTATGTTCGATACCGATGGCCTCGTGTGAATGCGTGCAGAGTATTACTATTAAGCGTATCTTATTTACAATCACACGAAAACTGCAGATAATATAATTTTTTATCATACCTTCACTGTGTATATAGAACAAGGGCATTATTTAAAGTGGCATAAACTGTAAAACGGCAACTGAGTGTCCCATGCCAAATTAGCGTCTGGAGTGTGGTTTTCGTCTTTTTTTACTTTACTTAATGATTGCAAAGATATCAGACCAGATAATATAAAGGGTCTGTAATTTTTATTCTGTTTAGTTTTTGCATTTCCGCAATCCAAGTAGTGTAGTAGTAAGTACTTAGATGGATTTTTTTTTGTGTTTGACCAATTGGCTTTTGACTTCTAGTCAGATTATTACTGTATATGTTAATTTTTGGCATCTTGGTTACCACCAATTGGTGATGATAAGCTTGGCCAAATTTTTGTTTTAATATAAATGTGTACTCTAGGCTGAGATCAACGAAAACGTATTATTAATTTATTAGTCATTTTAATCTAATTCTAACTGCCACATCTAAATTAGACTTTGCACATGTTGGTTTAACTGACAACGCTATTAATGGTAGAAGGTAAACCCATTAAAGTAATCTTTAAATTTATAATACTTTATAATTATTTTAATTTTGCTTCAAAGAGATGTAGAATGGTGGTCTTCCACTTAAATATTATGAAATTCATTAACCATGAACAACGGCAACAAACTCGTATTTCGATACTCTGAACCCTCCATACAAAACGGTGCAGATAAACACTCTATGACACATCAAGTAGGCAACACGTTTAGAGTTTTCCAGCTACAGAGACTGTTCTAGTTAGTAAGACAAGCTCAGTTTAGAATCGAAAAGCGCTGTTAAAGATTCAACACTTTTATCGTATTGCTTTGTTTCTCTAGTCAATATGTCCGATAGAGGAAAAGGAGCAGGCATGGGTTCGCCATAACCGCGAGTGGCGTGAGGCTGCTCGCCAAGCCACGATGACTCGTTGGTCGTCCCGGTTGGACACTCCACATGCTGGCTTTGCCGTCGTGGAGGCACTCCAGCCGGTCATCGTCGAGTGGGCAGGTCAGCAGCACGTGACCCTTTCCTTCCGGCTGACGCGGGTCCTTTCCGGGCACGGCTGCTTTGGGAAGTACCTGCCCTGGGCCGCTAGAAGGGGATTCAGTTCCGCGTGTTACCACTGCGATTGCAGTGAGGACACGACTCAGCACACGCCGGCAATTTGCCCGGCTTGGGCGCCGCAGCGCCGGGTTCTCATTGCAGTGATCGGGGGGTATCTCTCGCTACCGGCCGTCATACGCTCCATGGCTGGTAGTGACAGATATTTCACCGCGGACCTCCGTCTACGAAGACGTCATCTCGCAGAAGGAGGCGGCGGAGAGGGACCGGGAGAACAACCTTTTTCTCCTTTCTCTTTTCTTTTGGATTTCTCCTATTACAGGTGCAGAGAGAGAGATTTAGTCGGTGCGATTCCGACCGCCGTAAACACCGGTGGGGTGACGGCCCGAGGGGGATTCCATACGTAAAAAAAAGACAGAAAGAACTAAGCATTATTTACTAATAGTTATAAATGTGAATGGCGACAAGAAACGAAGACAGCTCTGAAGTGAAAAATGCTTATATTTTTAAGTGTTGGCAGAAAAACAGAAATGGTAGAATGCCCGAAAACAGAAGTAGAGCTGATGTCTCAGGTCTCTTTCATTTCTAACCACGGAAAGAGAAAACCTTCCTTATTTATTTTGTTTATACGTGTAGGGGAAAAGTTAAACAAAACACACGTATCTCAGTAATTAGCCATTCTCATACGTTAATGTGATGATGAAGATAATGTATGTTAATTTTGTCATACAAATAATTTTATTCATATTCATAGAACTTATTTCATTCTTCTCTCTAAAAAGTAAACTTAATTTTCCTTAACATTTTTTTTGTAGCCAGTTGTTTCAACTACATTCGGTGGGTACTATAATTTTAAATACTGTTGATATCACTGTTCCGATTTTTGTTTTTGCCCAACGAGTCCAAATTGTTTTAAATCAATGAACGTAGCAGATAAAAGAAACAAATTAAATCGTGTGATGGGTAAGTTTCCTGGTGAAGTTGGAAAAAACTCGTTGTAATCTGTGACGGTTCCACTCTATTCGCCGTTCCAATCGTAATGTCGTAACCTAACTAGTGACCTGTTAAATTAAATTTACCGCCTCATGTAGGAGCAGTAAGATGATTTCATGGGTAATGCGATAGTTCAATTCGTCATGCTTCACTATTTTGTAGACTCTTCTCTATAGTTCCCTAAATACGTGTGTTCGATTCGAACTGCTAAGTGATCGAGGTCGTTATATAGAGATTAAATATAATGAACACCAAAAAACAATTTGCAGCCCTAAATACAGATAATCA